CTAAAATGGTTTATATAAATATTTCTATCATAATTATCATCGGCCATTTTCTCATTAAATAAAAACTCTGCCAAACTTTCATCTTTTATGGGTAAACTTTTTGATCTTTTTTTTCTTAACCTATTTATAGATGAAATCCTTTTTTGTTCAAATACACTATCGCTAACGTCTTCATCCGAATCATTTGTGGATATTTTTCTGCAATCCCCTTTTTCGTGATTCGAAATATATTCTGGGGAGTCAATTAAATTGATTGAAGTCTCATCTTCTAACATAGAAATTGTTTCTATTTTTTTGGGATGAGGGGTGCTTTCCCCATATTTTCTCTTTTTTATGTTATTAGTTTCCTTTGGAGTACCAAACTCATCACAAACGGTTTTGAGCAGAGTTACATGGTTAATACTTTCACCAATTTCAAAAGTACTTCTCCTGTTTGTTATTTTACCTGATGGGATTTTTGGATTATTCTTTATTTCTGCTGATGTCAAAAGTGACGGTGTTGATGTAATTGTACTTTGAAGGTTGTCCCTATTATCTTGTCCATTTGTAAGAAATTCTTTGATTGAATGGCTCTCATTTTCTTGCGATATTTCAATTGATTCATCAACAATTTTGATGCTTTTTGTTTCGTACGTCAGAGTAACGTTATCATCGGAATCATTTTTAAAACTGTCGAAATCTGAAGCTGTTGCAAACGTATTGTTACTCTCATTATTATTTAATGCTGTTTCATCAATTGAAGAAGAATTGCATTCTTTCTGAATTTCTATTAGTTTATTTTCATCAGATGCTATTACTGTTGCGTTTATTTCAATGTTTTTAGTTTCTTCGTATTTTTCATATGTTAAGTTTTGGGTTTCATTTATATCATTATGTATGTTATTATTCTTAGACAAACCAATATTTGCTGTCTTCATAAAGTTACCGTCGTTGTTTTTGCATTCGGCTATGTTTTCTTTATCCTTTGATGATGTATTTTTTTCCAATTCTTTTAACTCGGTTGTAAGGATGTCTTCGGTTTCTTTATATTTCATTTCCGACTGTAAACTTTTATTTTTTTCATTAATTTCTTTTAAAGTTACATTATTTTGAATATCCATCGTCTCTATAATGGTATTTTTCCCACTAGGTAAAAATTCATTTAAGGAATTGTTAATGTCTTCACACCGATTATTTTCTATTTTTTTGTTGTTTTCTTTTCTTATTTCTATCTCCACATTATCATTTCCTTCGTTCATGTTGTGTTCAGAATCCGTTGATTTTGTATAGGTATTATTCCCAGTATCTGAAGATTCATTTAAGGAATTGTTAAAATTCTTACAATACGTATCATTTAGTTTTTTTTCAACTTCAACCTTTTTTGGTACTTCATCTTCATTGTACTCTCTATTTTCATCTATTAAGTCATTATTAGAAACTTCAGAATTTTTCACTTTTGTAAATGAAGAATTAGTTCCATTTTTTGGCTCTTCATATAGATTATCATTTTCAGTTTCTGTTGATACAATTTTTTTTTCTGATGTATATTCAATTTCTTGTGAAATATCTGTATTTACTTCTCGACTTTCGTCGGTGTCTTTACTCTTTAAACTTTGATTATCCTTTACATCATTACTATCTTCCTTTAAAGTAATTTCTTGAGTACCTGTTTTAATAACTTTTGTACTTTTAGCCTTAAATGTAGTTTCCAAAACAGCCTCATCATTAACTAAAGTTTTCTCTTCTTTTTTTAACTTTAATTCTGTTTCAATTTTGGCAAAATTTGCAACTGATGCAGCATTATCTACGTCGTAGGTTTCTCTTCGAGTTTTAATAATAGCTGGAAGATCGTAAGTGAGGCGAGAGTCGTGTAATTTCTTTAAACTTGTAGGGCTTCTACAATTCAGGATTTCTTGGACTGATTCTTGAGAAATGAAATTATCATTATCTTCAGTTTCTGTTTTTGCAGATTCTTTGACGTTTTTAATAACATTTTGAGAGACTTTTATTAAAGATTTTCTGTAACTGGTGCGAGTAACTCTTTGATTTTTTAGTTCGTTTTGCACCAATTCTTGTTCTAACTCTTTTTGATTGTGTTTAGGTGATATTTTTTTATCATCATCAGTGCTCTTACTTTGATTAGACATTTTGATACTTTCTCTAGTACTACGACGTGTTTGCCTTATTGGAATTTGGTCTTTTTCTGTATGGTTTACTCTTTCCTTTTTACGTTCATTGGTTGCTTTACCTCTTAACTGTTCTACACTTTTATTAAAGTTTTTTTGATCAGGTGTAATGTCATTAATTTTAGGAAGGAATGACCATTTAGTTTTTTTGTGGCTGCGAGTCAATCTGTGTTCAAATTCACTTGCCTCACCTGGTGTAATGGGTGTATTATAAAGTTCTTCAGTTGCACGAATTTTTCTCTTCAGTTTACGTTTTATGTTTTCAGTGGGATGTTCCTCAATTTCAAAACCGAATGAATCCTTTTTTCGTTTTTTTGTTTGTTTCACAGTTCCAGGCGTTACAACGTCTTTGACGAAACCACTTTTAAAAGGGGGCATTTTTAATAGTCCTAAAGGAAATAATAATTAAACAGTTGTAAAGAAGATGCAATAAACATACCTGCTGATCACAAATTTCACTAAAATGGTTTATATAAAATTATTCAATGTAAAAGAGCTTCCAATTAACACTGATATACATTTCAATTTTTGAATTTGTCGGTTACATTTATACTGTATTATACTTTGACAGTAGTGATTTGAGTAACGTTCATGTCTACTAATACATTAGTTGAAAAACAAAATCAATCCAATCAGTTGACATTACTTTGTTTTCATATGTTTTTTTACTAAAAGTAATTTGAAAAACGCCATAATTTAATTTGTAATTTTCATCAAATTGCAATTAACTTTTATTACATTTTCTGAATTGAAGTTGAACGCTTCTCAAATTCTACATCAGCGCCATCGTAGTATTGAACAGTAAACTAGTTAAAAACTTTGCTAGTGACTTATCTATGCTGGCGATATACAGACCATACTTTTCTATGGACCACATACAGACCATAGATAATATAGACCAATACCAGCCAATACAGGCATGTACAGACTTGAAAATCACTGCGCAAATCGCAGAATTAATATGGCAGAATAAGTGATAATTTGTCGCACTATGACAAGATGTTTAATAAATGTTAATAATATTGTTAGAAGTGGGTGTATTTGAAATTTTTATCTTATTTATTATAATTGTTTTTTCCGTTTTAGGGCATAAGTGATACGTCTACAATAAGATATACATGCAAAGCAGTTTTTAAAAGCAATGTCACTTTTTTACTTTTGTTAACTGAATCGGGATAAGAAAAAAACATAAACAATGGAACTTGAAGACTCCGGGGGCATAGGCCAGGAAACTATTTATGGCACCCACGAAGATTCTCGCGTGGTTATGTCTGAGAAAGTGCAATCACTTGCTGGAAGTATCTACGAAGAATTTAAACGTATGATTGCGCGGTATGATGAAGATGTTGTTAAAACTTTAATGCCACTTCTTGTCAACGTGCTGGAATGTTTAGACTCTGCCTACCAAGCAAATCAAGTAATATAGCTTATAATTCTTTATGAGTACAAAATATAAAATCATTTGACTTTTTAGGAACAGGATGTTGAACTAGAGTTGTTGCGTGAAGACAATGAACAGTTGGTTACCCAGTATGAAAGAGAGAAAGGGGCAAGAAAAACTGCAGAACAAAAACTGTTGGAATTTGAAGATTCTGCTGAAGGTTAGTTCATAGTTAAATAAATTACTTTTGCTTAAATTCTCATAGAATAAACAAGAAAATTTTTAACTTATTTGTTTATTTTAATTTTAGGAGAGCGTAAAGAATTATCTGGCAGACTTGAATCTCTGGAAAGCATAGTAAGAATGTTAGAATTGAAACATAAAAATTCAATGGAACATGCAGGCAGATTGGAAGAAAGAGAACAAGAACTAAAGAAAGAATATGCAAAGCTTCATGACCGTTACACTGAATTGTTTAAAACCCACATGGATTATATGGAAAGAACAAAACTAATGCTATCTAGTCAGCAACTTGTGAATGAAAGGGCTGAAGTGGGACGAATTAATTCAAATCAACTTAATATGGGCAGAAGTTCAGGACCTGTCTCATTTGGCTTTGCTTCCTTGGAAGGTGCCGAAGATGGTGTCGACAGTGTGCCAACCTCACCAGTTAGCAGTAGTCATTCTTCACCTAGGTAATGTCTTTAATAAGTATATTTATAAAAAAAATAAGTACCTATTAGACAGGGTCAAAAAATATTTTTAATTTTTAGCCTTTTTTACTTATTTTTTTCTAATCAGTTTTTAATGAAAACAACAATTACAATTTTTATTGGAGAAGGAACAGCTTTTGTAGTGTTTTTTGAGTTGTAATGGGTAGAATTATTTGCTTAAAATATCCCTTACAACTCTTGTATTATGTTTCTGTATGTTTCTGTTATGTATTTTTTTAAATGCTTAAATGCTGACTTTTAAATATTACTTAGAATTCTGCTTTTTTCCTTATTGGATTAAAATACATGTATATAAATGTGGGGTGCTAAAGGTTATCTTATTGCACCGCTTATTTTTATCCTAATTTGCACAGTGGCATGGTGTTTTTTTATTGTATATTCCAGTCTGCATAACGAATTGGCTAATGTTAACAGAGATGGCATTCGGACTGTAGAAAGAGGTCAGGAGACTGATTCGCTCAATTTAGAAAATAAAAGCGTGATAACATCACCTATTAGTCCCTCAGAGCATAATGTCAACAATAACTCTGGCAACAACCTCTCTGGAAGGGTACACACCCATAAAGAACAGAGAAGTGGTAACACTCTGTATCAGGAACTCAGTTTTCAAGTAAGTAGTCAATTTATTTACTTATTTAAATCAAACTGGTCAAAAACCTATAATACAAAACGCAAATTCATGTAATTTAACATAGGAGCAACAAAAATTACATGCTAGCCAACAAACAGAATTATTAAAAAAAAAAGTCATTGCCAAGTTTGTGTAGTAAATTTGTCCCAGTACAAAATAAGTTTCATATTTTTAATCTTAAGTTACTTTACACTCAATATTAGCCCTATTAGCAATGAACCGTTTTCAAGCAAAAGGAATTTTCAGAAATTGTCAAATCTATATGACCAATCTTCATGTACACCATCTGATCGTAAAGCTAATACTAAAACGTCCAAAAAACTACTGAATAAGGTTATTAAGAAAGAAAAAAAAACTTATAATAGTTGCCAATTATATCTAACATCAAAAACTAGCAAAATTATAATTTCACAAATTACGCTGCATGCTCCATTGCTTTGTGTTGTTCAAGATCAAGACTACCAGATCAAACGGTTAACAACTGTGTCAGTACTCTCTTTTCTCCCAAGCACATCCCCCTTCCTTTTACACGTAATTATTCCTATAGTCCCACATATGCAAATACCAAATGGTAAGTTGTTACATACTAAAACGTTTTATGTTTCAATTTTACAACTTATTATAGCCCCTTTGTACATATATTTATATAAATTTTCAAGCCTTAAAACAACGTAGACGACCATTAGACTAAAATATGATGTTTGTTTGTATTTACTTGAGTTATATTCTTTAAAATGGTTTATTTCGAAAATAACTCAGGTTTTATAATTCTATAATGAGTAATTGTCAAAAAATAGTTTTGTTAGTTAATTTTTACATGAAATAATGCATATATTTTTTTACATGTTTATTACTATTTTTAAAAAATCTTGTGCTTTCTCGTTTAAAATGTATTGTTGAAAGTATTTTCTTAAAAAAAATATCGTCTCCTCTATCTTAGGACATGAAAAACTTTATACTAGTAACGTTCAATTTGAATGTTGTGCATGGAGATTTGGTCATGTAGTTTTTGTGAAAGATGAGACAAGTTCACTGTATGTACTTGGCTACTTGTTATAAATTGAATTAAATTATTTAAGCTAAACGATGGTTTTCTTTTTTCTAGGATGCAGATGCTTTAGGAGACATGGATGATGGTGCCGATATAACAGGTACGTAATTATTATTAGAGTATTTTTTAGAATTAAAAATGAACATAGTATCTTTTAATTAATTGCAGGTGGTTGGGTTCATCCAGGAGAATATGCATCTTCAGGTAATAATTAAATTTTATTAACTTTTCCAAGATCAAAATTAATCAATGGCATGTTTAATGCAACTTTTATGTTTTGAATCTGTTACATTAATAATGATACTAATGCTGTTTTTTGTGGATTTTTAAATTGCTATGCTTGGACACCTGATCGGAAACAGTGAATGATAACTTCTTTGGTAAGAATTGTTCCATTGTTTTTGGGTGTGCTTCGTATCTCATAATCACTCACATTATATGTTTCCGTTTTGTTTATAAGCACCCTTTATTACTTCTTAAATTTTGTTTAACCTTGTTTGTTGACCTTTTTGTGTTCTGAGAACTAATTTGAACTTGGAGTTATTTAAATTTAAGTGAAATATATTTCTGAAATTGCATTAAAATTTTATTAGAAAGTAAATCGTGTTTTCGTTCCAATTTTGTATTTATTTGTTAAAAAGGAAGAAATAAAAGTAAATTAAATATGAAAGTGTGGGCATTTGGGTTGGAACTTTTGCCTCGACCCTAAATTACCTTATCCCTAATAGGTTTTAAAGTTTAAAGATTATTAATGATTTTTGATTGAAAGTTTATTATTATACATATAGATATATAAAACACATTTTTTT